CAGCACTACAGGTGAACTGAAATAAGAGGTTATGGTAACAACAACTGTCTCGTTGGCTGTGTAGATAAAGAGATAAAGTGAAACCGAAAATATTACTGATTGAGTTTTGTTTTTTCTTATTTTTATTGTTTTAATAAGTGTTGGAGCTTTTGAAAACCAGGGACATGCTCAGAAACCTTGAGATGAAGCGGGAAACTGTAAAAGCTGATGTCACAGGTAAGAACATGAGACTACACTGTGATTTTGTACTAAACTTTTGTTTCTGACCTCTGGAATTTAATCACATAACACACATTATTATTTATATTATTAAATGTTGCTTAGCATTTTTTTCCCCAACATTTTAATATTTAAGTTATGGTGATTCTCATAACTGATCCTGATGAATAATTATTGTTTTTAAGCCTGTTGTTTAATTTGTTTTTTGTTTTTTAGAGAGACCTCCTGAAATCAAACCATGTAGTACAGTGCAGCCCACATGCCCGGAGCCTGAAGTAAAAATTAGTACGTTATGAATTTTAAACAGATTTGTATCTGCAGAAAACAACTGCATAAACAAATATACAGCTGCATGACACAAGGACCATCCTCCTGCCTGAAAAATTTTTTGAAATTCATTTTTTTTATCTCTTTTTTATAACAGTAACACAACCGTGCAGCCCAATACAAACTACAAGCCCACAACTTCCTGAAATAAACACGAGTAAGTTTTATATTTTGTCTTTGACATGTTTTTTATTCTCTGATTAAGGAAACAGGATCAAAGGAGCATCCTGCTGCTGTCAAATCAAAAGTAGATGATCATGCTGAAAATTTTGCAAATATTTTTAAAAAAAATCTCTCATCTCTTCTCTATAACAGTAAAACAATCACACAGCGCGATACCGACTACAACCCCACAACTTCCTGATATAACTATGAGCAAGTTTTATATTTTTTCTTTGATATATTTTTTATCCTCTGATTAAAGAAACATTGATGGACTGATATAAACAGTACGTTAGATTGTAACTGTGGAGTAAGTCGTGAACAGTGATTTCTTCCGTCTGACTGAAGTGTTTGATGTAATCTCTTCAAAGATGATTCATGTTATAAATGTGAAGAGGGCTGGGAGCAACATGGAGGAAAGTGCTATTATTTCTCCACCAGGTCATCCTCCTGGGATGTGAGCAGAACTGAATGTATCACTAAAGGAGGAGACCTGGTTAAGATAGACAGCAGTGAGGAGCAGGTATAAAACACTGCTGCAGGTTCATGTTCTCACCCTCATGTTTCATCATTCCGGAACAGAAAGTTTCATAAAATAATTTGATCAAATGTTCCTGTTTAGATATTATTGCAGAAAAAAAATGGAAAATTCTGGATCGGACTGACAGACTCAGCAGTAGAGGGCAGATGGCTGTGGGTGGACGGGTCACCACTGAATGAAAGGTTTGATTCAGTACACACACACACACACACACACACACACACACACACACACACACACACACACAACAAATTCTGAATTTGTCCATTTTCAAAATCAAAGTTCAACTTTAACTTTTACAGTTAATGCCCATTCTGTTCTTCATCCCATAGGTTGACATTTTGGTTCCTTACTGAGCCAAATAATATGCCCGTGCAAGATCCTGATGGAGAGGACTGTGCGATGATGGGGCACAATGGGATAATGTTTTGGTTTGATTATTCCTGCAAATTAACTCTTAGAAGTATTTGTGAGAAAGCAGCTGTGGCTGTTTGTGTCTAAAATTCAGTTCAGCATTAAAAACAGAAAACAGTGGAAGGACACATTGAGACAATTTTTCCAAAGCTAATGCTGCAAACATTTAAAGCTTCCATTCAGAAATGTTTAAAGAAAAAAAAATTATAGACACTGTTTATAATGAAATAAATGTGAATTATTATTATTCACATTATTTTGCACTTGATTTTCTTATTCATGTATTATGTGCTAAAAGTGTAATGCGACCAGGGAATTTTTTTTTTTTACATAAATAATTTCCTGGATAATGTGTTATTGAACTGTCTTTTGAAACTAAATATGTTTTGTGTATCTATATTAAAGAAAAGTACTACATCTAAAGACAAATGAGCCTGGAGTCAAAACAAACACTGATGAGGCAGATGGTGCTGCAGGTCAATATCTGAAAATTTTGCCTGTAAGAAAATTAAATTAAACTACATAAAGAGACTTCAGTGTTACTCAGAATAAGTAGTTTTATGTGAATCCAGTTACAATAAAACAAATGTTAAAGCATGCAGCAGAAAAAAAAAATCTCCTATTCGTCCTTCAGCATTTCTCCAAAACTTTGAAACAGGAAGTTCTCACAATTTTTTATTTTTGAAAAGACTGAGGATAGACAACAGCTCACCGTGCCAAGACTTCTTTTTAGAATTTGTGGTCATGTTTACATAAACTCATGACTGGCATGAATATCGTGTTAATTTGGGGGCTTTTAATTATTTCTTCAAACTGTTCTTTTTCCAACATGGAACGGTTGTACAGCATACATCTTTAATGACTTTAAAACAAAGAACTGGGTGGATTTTCTCTAATCTACATCAAAGTATGCATTCAGACTCAAATATACACATATACACCTCCACTAATATGCGGTTAAATGTTCCTTAGCAAGTTGCACCTCAACCAGATAATTTTGGTAGCCATCAACAAGCAACAAAAGATAGTGATGAAGAGCTGAAACATAAAACTCATCACATGGTCTCTAAAGTCACCTGATTTAAACAAAACTATGATAGTTTGGTACAAGTTGGACAGCACATTGCTGTCAACAACAGGCCACTGAGAGAAATGCTCAAAGCTCTGGGTCTGTTACAACAATAAATATTTAAAAAGGGGCTTTGATTTACTGACTACAATAAGATGATTAAAAATATTGAAAAATAGTCTGTTTGTTAAAAAGCTTTACAAACTGTAATAGACTGAAGGGACAAAAAAGAGAGAGTGATCTGAGGGGTTCAGTCCAAATATTTCACAAAAATAAAGACTGGAGCTGTCATGGTGTGCTGTGTGGCAGGCGGGATAGAACCCGATTGCAGGAGTCACAGACACAGAATGAAAACTAAAAACAGCAGCGTTAATGCTGAACAAACCTTTTATAAAATACACTTAACAAAAACAAACCAAAATCTGAAAATGAAACTAGGAACAAAACTGGACTCAAGAACTAGAAACTAAGAAATACAGAGGAAAAACACACAGCAAAATGAGGGTACACCACAACAAAGAGCAAGGAAAACACAGGGCTTAAATACATTGAAGGATAACAAGGGAATGAGACACAGGAGGAGAGGACAGCTGGAAGTAATCAAACATGACAACACCAAGGGGAAGCAAAACTAGCAACACTGACATGAGACAAGGGACCATCAAAGTAAAACAGGAAGTATAACACAGAGACGCAGACTTGACACTGAACAAAGAGAACACGGCGGCACAGTGACAGGAGTGACAAAAGACAAGAGTGACTGGGGAGGCAGAAGGAACATGGAGACAAGAGACATGGGACATGGGGAAGCCAAAGTAACAGAAACCTAAATCCAAGGTACCAAGAATATAAGACACACAGAAAACAAGAGAACCTAAACCATGAATTAACAATAATCAAATCATATAATCACAAGGAATGAAACACAAATACTGGATGCAAAAGAAGCTACATATAGAATGTCCATGCATAGGAAAGAAAAAAAAAAGGGGGGGGGGGGGGGGGACATAGTGATGAAGGAACCTGTGGTCATATCAGGCATTAGCTGATCCTAAACAGAAGTCACCCATTTCCTTCACCGATTTCCTTATAAATCTTTCTGCAACATTAACTTACTTCCAACTTTAATGAACAGCTCTCAGAATTTTTCAAAAGCCCCATTAGGTTCTCCCCTTTCAGCACCTCCTTCCTTTGTGAATTAAAGCATAATTGCAGAAAAGCACCACAAGGTGGCGGCCTCTTCCTTTTTGTTGTGTTAAGCTGGAGAGCCTAAGAGTGTACTAAGATATTAATAGGTTAGCAAGCTATGTTGCTTTTGTCCTTGACAATTTTTTTTCTTTAGTTTGACAAATCAGAAGTGACTGTACACTTTCAGCTGAGCCTTAGCCTAGAACACAATTACAAGGAGACACATGGGCTTAAATGATGCTATTTTTAAAAGGTAGTGTTTCTAAATTTACATTTGAAACTCCCTTACAGAAATCTGACAAATAAAATATAATTGTGCTAAAACAACAACATAACCAGTGAAATCTCTTGTTTTTCTGATCTTGAATTTACAAAATGTATTACCTGAAAAATCATAGGTGTCACTTTATATGTTTATTGGGAAAAACAGTTTCAGTCTGTTAATTTCTCTCTGGTGTTTGAAATATTTCAATGCCAAAATGTATTATGTAGTTTGTGCAGTGGGAAAAAGTATAATCAAATTGTCAATCTATGGAAACCACATCTATTTAAAAAAGGAAAAACTCCACAGACACAAATGGGGTGGGTGGCTCTTTAGTGACCTTGATGATGCTGAAAGTAATTGGTTTTATAGTTTTAAATGAAAGGAAGCTAAAAGTGTTCAAGTCAAATCGCATTCCTTTAAATTACAAAACTTTTAAATTTAACAGAAAGTTGTTTTGTATAAATAACTCCATGTTTAATTTACAGAAATAGAACAAATATTTAGAGTCTTAAGTCTCATCTGTCTACCAAAGGAATTATCTGCAATAAGACAAAGAGATTTTTTTCTGTCGTTTCACAAAGCTCAAGTAAAAAATAAATTTTACAGGACAAATGCCTTTCTTTCGACCAATTCTGATGTCAGGATGCCAAAGCTTCAGCATGAGGAGCCGTCTGCAGAACTACATAGAAGATAATAACATTCGTGCAGTGAAAAAACAACAGGAAGGAGCTTCATTCAGATCCAAGTGATCATCAAACAACCACTAATCTGGACAAAAGTGCTTTTCGAAGATTAAAACAGGTATGCAGGAGTAAAATATTATCTGTGCATAAATTAAAACAAAACTTGAAAACCAATTCAGTGTTTGAACATTTAGTCCAACAAAGAATAAAGAAGAAAAGGAGGGGCTAATTTAACTTGTGGTTGCCTCAGTCAGCCATGTTATTGTCTGATACACAGTGTGCCATTTCCTGTTTGGTTAATGCAGCTGTATTTGCCACAGCTATCTGGTTTACCGTAAATAAGAGGAAGTGAATGTTTACAATAAAAGTGTAAATTACAGTGTGCATGAACATCAATGCCAGCTTCATTGTTTTAATTCAGTTGAGCAAAACAACACCTAAAAAAAGACAACCTATAACACAAATGGTCCTGCATCTACATAAAGATAAATATATATCTACTATTAACTGAGTTTACATGGGAATGAATCCCAACCCCTCCTTGTAGATTCTGTTTTATGAGGACTTAAGACCTAATTTATAATTAAAAGATTGCCTTTTTTGTTATAGTTTTCTGTGAAAGGTTTAGACATTTGTATCTTAAACTTACTGGAGTTCAAGATACAAATGTTGAAGGTAAAGTGATTTACTTTTTTTAAATGAAGCAAATCGTTTGTTAAATATAATAAATTCAGTCAAAGCTGACTGAATTCACAAAATGTTGTCAGAAAATTACAGTTTTTTTGATTGCATTTTATTCAAATATCATACTACACATACTATACAGTCTCCCTGAATGCAACCACAACCTTTTCAAATGTTACTGGTGAATAAAATTAGCACTACAGGCAGAATGAAAACAGAAGCTAGAACGGTACTAAAAATCCCCAGGTAAACTCCAAATTTATAGAAATGTCTTTTTAAAAAGATAAAGTGACACCAAAATGTTACCAACTCCTTTGTATTTGTCTTGATTTCAATTTCATGTAGAAGGAAAAGTCCCAATGAGAAGGAAGACCCTTGTGACTGAGTGGAGAGCAGTGTTTAACCAAGAAGCAATAGAGGCGCTTTTTAAGAAAGCTAAAAATTTTATTTATTTACAATAAAAACAAGTAAAAACAGCCATGACCAGGGGGCATAAAAATTGATATACAGGAACAAAATATAAAAATTGTCTGGCTGGGTCGGTACTTGACCCGACAATTGAGATTTAGTCAGTAGTTGGTACAGAGCTCAGAACTCTGCCTGCCACTGTTTGCCACTTGTCAGCAGCCGTTAGCTTTTCGCAACACTAGCCGAAACCAAAACGATCTCCTGGCACGTCCAGCCGCTCCACTCAAAGGTGTCCCTCTGCTTCACCTCCCTCAATAACATCTGCCTGTGTCTCCATGGCCACGTCATCGTCATCATCATCATCATCATGGTTGATTCTTTCTGTCCATTACTGCTGTTTTCATGGCTGCTATGACCATCCGTACCGCCAGACCCTCTTATTGGTCTTTGGTGGTTGAAAGGCTCACCCGGATTGGTTAATGGCGGGTTCATTCCATGGCATGACCTCTCCCAGGAGAGGAAAATTAGTAATGGGGGGGGGGGTCTGGGGGAACATAAACTAAAAACAAAATTCACAATAAAAGCATGCAATAACACTCGTAGCTATAAAAACTTAAAAGCACAATATAAAAGATAAATGACTCTACTGTCAAAGATTGAAAAAGTCATGCAAAAACAAAAAACAACCTATTCTTCCCCAGGATGACATCACCATGATTGAGCTTATCCTGTATTTTAACAGAGTGAACGTACTACTTTATATTGAAGAGTTTTCTTTAGTATTTTTAGTCTTTAGGTCTTAGTTCCAGCTTCTACTTGCATTAGAGTTTATTTGATCTCTATATCCTGTGTTAAGTTCACTGATCTTCATTGTTTTTGTTTAGTTCCTTTTTTTATTGGTCTCCCATGCATTGTGTTTAGTTTTATTTCCTGACTGTTTACCTTTGTTGTGTTCAACTGTGTTTAGTTTCCCTCCTGTTTCTAATTCCTTCATTACGTCATGTGACTTTATAGTCTCAATTTGTCTGTCGTGTTGCATCAAACTGTGTTCCTCTCTTTTTACTCCAGTTCTTTTTTGATTTTCTTTTTTTTTAAGTTCTGAACATTGTCTGCCACAACAAAGTCAATTTTTTTTAACCTCTAGTCTTTTTCAGCAGACTGCATTTTGATGTAATGTAAAGTCGTAAAAACATGAACAGTGATTTGTTGTGACGATATCTTTCATCTCTTAGTTTTACATTTTTGAGAGGCGATAAACCAGATGATTGGGTGGAGGAAATGTTAGAAATATATCCTCCAGTCAGAAAGTGTTAGCTTGATATATCCTGCAAAGTACCCCATAAATCTGTATCTGAAAGTCAAATATAAAATAAGTTGAGTAGGGAATACAGTAAGGCTACTTTTATAAAGCTAAAGTCACAAACAATTAAAGCTGCCTTTCAAAAATCTCCCAAGCTAGGCGAGTGACTCCAGCAGATCCCAGGAACAACATCTGAGATCTCTGTCAGAGGAGCGCAGTCCTAGGAACAGCTAAGATACTGCGCAGGACCCTCAAGCTCCCAGGCCTCTAGTAGAGGACCCGAGCTTGACAGATAGACCGCCTGCAGGGGTGAGGGGAATTTACAGATATATACATGTGTTTTTTTTTAAACCATAAACATAAAGTTATGATAAAGTGTAATCCATTAAAATTTAACAGAAAGTTCTTTTAATGTAAACCTGTAAAAAAGGAAGCTGTCACAAGTGTTTCTTCTAAGAAAAGCAATGAGACAGTTTTAAGGCTTATCTGCCTACCAAAAGCCGAAGAAATATTTGCAGATAATACCAAAAAATTCTGCTGTTTGCCAAAGCATTAAATGCTAATAAATAATAAAGAATAAAATGGGTGTGTTTGTGATGCAAAACAGCAGGACTGGCTGAGGTCAGGATGTTGAAGCCTCTGCGTTCACAGAGGTACATAGACTGTAAGAATATTCATGTGGTGATAAAGAGGGAGATGCAGTCAAATCTGAAAAACAAAACAGCTTTTTGCAGATTGAAACAGGTATGCAAGGATAAAACAATATTATCTACACCTAAGTTAAAACAAAACTTTAGACCAGACTAAATGCTTTAACATATGAGTGTATTTGGTAATACTTAGTCCAACAAAGAAGAAACAAAGAAGAACAGTGGGGGGTTGACGCTTAGATTTTGTGATAATTTCATGTGTGGTTTTTTCCGTCAACCACGTTGTTGTCTGATACACAGTTTGCTGTGTTTCCTGTTTGGTTAATGCAGCTGCGGTTCCCACAGCTATCTAATTTACCATAAATTAGAGGAGGAGAATGTTTTCAGTATGACTGTGAATACTGCTTATACAAAAACTATGGGCGACTGTTTCAACTGTGGCTGTGGCATCTAAAGATAAAGGGTTTTTTTTTTTTAAATTACATAACTATAACAATGTCAATTAATGTCAAGCCCTCACTTTTAGTGTGCTTTGTTTTATTATTAATTAAGATAACATTTACAAATAAACAGACTGCCTTATTGTTGTTTTTGTTGTTGTAGTTTTAGGAAACACTCAAATAATTTGAATTAAGGTGGAAAATCACATAAGGCAATGCCACAGGTAAGGATAGGAGACTCATATACTGCAAAGTTGAATTAAATTTGGATTATCAGTACATCTACTCTGATGACACACAGTTGTTGTTACCATGCCATGCTTGCTGTATCTTGTCAAAAACATTTGTTACACATTTTTACGTTCTTGCTGAATGACTGATTTAAAGAACTTTGTTGTTTACTCTTTTTTTTTTTACTTTATTTTAATAGAGAGTGAAATTAACTATGCAACATGGTAAAGCCCACATGTTCACAGCTTCCCGAAGTAACCATGATTGAGAATTATACAACATTTGTTTTCTCTTATTATGGTTAAAGAAACATTGATTAAAGTAAAGGTAAATTACATGTAGAGCTTTCAGAATAAATATTACAAAATGCTTCACAATAAAAATGCTAAAACATCAAAACAAAAAGTCAGCCAAAAGGTTAAAAAGATGAGTTTTTACTTTCTTTTTAAAAGAACTCACCCAATCCAGAGATCTCCGGCTCAGTGCATAGATGGTTCATCTACTTGTGATGAACCATCTTTTATAGTTGCATTATTTTCCCTAGCATTTAAAGCTGTCAGTCATCTTAGGGTAAGAGCCTGTGAAAAGAAAACAAAAAGTAAATCCTGAACAACGACCACTGCTTTTTCAGTCACCCTGCTTCTTCCTCTCTGTCTTCCTGGGAGAAAATCCAGATGTGTTGATGTAGCTCAACTGAGCAAAACTATCCCTTGCAGAGAGACAGATGGTTTGAGGCTAAGGTGTTGCTTTACTGTGGACACCTTTCCAGTGCAGCCAAAACAGAACAGCCTGCAGTAGAAGTTGGGATACTTGTTGGTGTTCCCAGGGCTAAGTTATTTCTTCGCTGATCACTGCCTGCAACTATCTACTTTAAGCAGAGCACTCTCTCTGAAGTCCTTGCTGACTCTGGTGTAGAACAAAGCTAGCTCATCAACTGGGAATCTCCACCAAACTATTAACCACTCATCTTTCAATCTTTGCCCTAAACAGACAACAGCTGGGTACCATTACACATCAGACTGAGCCCATTCATTTCATATGGAAACCACCCTGAGTACGCAGAGTTCTTTGTTTTTTCTGCACCTCACAAATCTGATCCTAGAAAATCCCTGGCTAGAAGGACACAACCCACATATAAGTTGGTCGGAAGAAATAACTAAGTTGAAGTTTGTTTTTCCAGTCAAACCGCTTACAATAGGCCCTGCTAACTCAGTCTCTGGGCCTGCTGAATGTGAGTCACCTAATCTTTCTCTGATCCTCAGTAGAACCATGCCCAATAGCTGGCTTTTTGTTGAGTAGAAAGATAAAACTCTTAGACCATGTATTTGACTAAATCAGATCACTAGAGGAACAAGAAGTGAAAATACGTTTTTGATAAACACGAGGACACTTTGAGTACTTGGTAATATCTTTTGGTCTAACAAATGTGGCTGCAGTATTCTAAGCCTTATTTAATGAGGTCTTCAGAAATTTCCTGAATGTGGTTGTTTTTTGTTTTTGTTTTACCAACTATCCTTGTTTTCAAGGATCTATATCACCTTCACTTCTGTTTCAAGAAGGTTTTCAGGAGAAAACCTTCACCCCAAGCCTTCACCCCCATTAATAGTTTGTTGTAAAGGTCAATGCTTCAGACTCTGGTGTGGGGGCAATCTTCTTACAGTGCTGTACTGTAAGAAGAAAGTAAACTACACTCGTGCACATTCTGCACATTCTACTCATAGTGATCTGCTAGCAGTTCAACTAGCTTTTGAAGAATCATCCAAATTTGTCATATCTTCAGTCACCTCCAACATCTCAATTCCAGGCAACCTAGACTGTAATATTCTTTGGCAAATTCAATGACTTACCGTTCTGGTTCCTGTATTTCTGTAGAGCTGACCTGGGAAAATGAAGATGTCATTCAACAGGCTCAGCAGAATGAACATGATTCCAGAATCAGCTTCACAAACCAACTGTATGTCCTGTCTTCAGTCCACTCACAAGTTATCCACTAGGTCCACACCATCAACTTTACCTGCCATCCAGGGGTAAGCCACATTCTTTCATCCTCAATTGGCAAGGTTATAAAGGAACACAATCCAGAATGCTCAGTTTGCACAAGAAGTAAGAGCAAATCTCAACCAGTCGCAGGCCTGTTACAGCTACTGTGTATACCTAGCTGCCCATGGTCATGCCAATGCGCCAATAATAAATATTCAAAAGGGCAAAAACACAAGTCTTTCAAAATGAACTGCTCATTGGTTTCCATTTTAGAAATTGCAGTGCTTAAAGTTTAACTGCATACAACATCTGTCAAAAAAAAAAAAAAACTAAACCCTTCGATTGTATGTACATGCCATACTGAAATTATTTTTTTTAAAGAAAACATTTTCTGAAATGCAAAAATATATAAATAATCTAAAGTACAGTCAAAAGTCAAAGTCAAATTAAATAAATTCATAAGCAACCTAAACTAACTCTGTCTTCTTGGAAGGCTTTCTGATATTGATAGGAGGTTTTTATGCTGCTAAAAAAAAAAAGATGTTATAATGGTGCAGACATTAATTAATATTAATAATAATTCAGTGTCCAACTTAACAGCCTTCAGGTCAGTGGCTCAGAGTTTTAATGGCCCATTTACATTTTTACTGGCTTGTGAAAAAAGCTTTTATTTTTATACTTTAAAATATTAATGCAATTTAATTAATAAAATACTTTATGTCATTTTATTATTTCACATTCAATTCAAAACATGTTACAAAACCCTTGAAGTTAATATGGCCTAGTACACCCCATGCCCCCCTTTAGACTCACCCCTGTTTGCTGCAGGTATCACTTCCATGTAAAATAGGACGGCTGCCTCAGCCTTCAGCGAGCTGTATAATTTAACCAGTCTCGTATCAGTTAACAGTTCACCTGCATATTTTAATACAACTTCGGGAGACTTACTGCAGATTTTTCTCTATATAAAACAAACGGCGGTGGATGGAGCAGCTGCAAAGTTCGCTTTTCTTCGCGTCGGAGTGTGTTGATCAGGCGCTTTGATGGAGGACTTACGCTCGGGTTTTGTCAGTAAAGATTTAAATGATGATTACAGGAACAGCGCTGCTGTTTTGGACGCTAAAAACACGTTTTCTTTCACTCAGCCTGAGCTCAGCGTCTCGGTAAGGGTCCGCCTCTTTGCTCTTCACGGTGTGTAAACAGACTCCGGCTCCACGTTCAGCTGTGCCAGCGTCATCGTCACTGCCATCATCGTTGTGTTATCAGTGTTTCTGTTTAAATGTGCAGGCTGTGTGGGCTTGCTGTTGTCAGACTTTTTATTCACACGTTTGCATTGCACGTCTGTTTTTAGTCGCAAATGTGGATGAAGCACTCGTGTTTACATCGTTTAACACATTTGCCGTGCTTTAAAGGAATAATTATTCAAATTATTCGACTAGTCGTTACAGCGCTACTAATGATTAAACGTGTTTTCTAGCTCCATGATATTCCTTTAGACATAGACTCCAGTCTTCGACCCCAGTTTATATTGCAAATAAGGTTTTTCTTGGGGCTTTGGAAGGAAAAGTCAGTCTGGCTTTTGCATTTCACTCAGAGTCTAAGGGTCAAACTCAGAAGGTCAATCAAAAACTTGAGGTGCTTTCTGCTGCGTTGTTTCCACTAATTCTGCTTCCTGAAGTTCACCGCTCCCATGGATAAAGTATGCACACAAAACACTCACTTCATCCGCAACCAGACTACCATCCTTTGAGGCCTTTCTGGGTTATCAACCAGCATTATCCCCTGTAATAGAAAGAGAAGTGGCTGTATCTCCATCCAGCATCATGTCTGACGTTGCTGCCATTTTTGTAGACAAACCAAAGCAGAGCGCCTCCAAACATCTGAGAAGAATTGGAGTTTGGCTGATCAGCTGAAGTCTCCGGCCTCACAGAATAGTTTGGGTCAGAAAGTTTGGAAATTTCTTTCTATGAAACTAGGTCAAAGATTCATTGGCCCAAATGACATTGGGAAAATTGACAATCCTGCAGCTGTTCATTTAAGTGGTCTCCTTGTATGAAGATTCATCCCACATTCCATGTTTCCTAGAAAAAAAACAATAGATTACAGTAAAAATCTTTCTATATATAATAGTAAACATTTGGTCCCACTTTTGGTTTGCCCAAGATTACTCAAACAGACCAAGGTACTGACTTTATGTCTGAAGTATCTGATACTGAAGCTCCTGGCTGTGAAGCATCAAGTCTTTAGTGCATATCATGCAGAAAGCCAGGAGGCACTAGAGTACTTCCACCAAACTCTTAAGACAATGTGGCATACCTACTGCTTTAGAACTGGTACGGAATGGGATGAGGGTGTATTCTCTTGTTTTTTGCAATCAGGGAAACTATTCTGTCATGCATGTTTTAAAACTTAAGGTTCTGTGTGGGAGGATCAGGGTTTTTGTTGATTGTGTTTTTCCTGTTGAGACCTTTATGCAGAGACCAGTGTGCCCAGGAAGAAGGAAGATACTCAGTTTTTGTTTCGTGTGAGTAAGTCGACCATTTGGCTCACGAGGATAAATACGTCAAACGAGGATAAATATGTTGAAGGATGTTGTGTCCATGTTTAAAGGGAATGTGCACTGATCAGGCATAATGTTATGACCAGACAGGTGGTCAACTGACACATGACAACATGCATTTAGAAGCAGGAAAAATGGGTAAGATGGCTAGATGACTACATCTCCAAACTGCAGCTCTTGTAGGTTGCATGCTGGTTCCGATACTAAGGTGTCAGAATACAGAGTGCATTGCAGTTTGTTTTGTTTGGATCTGGATAGTCACAGACCAGTCAGGGTACCCATGCTGATCGCTATCCACTTAAAGCACCAACAATGGGTATGTGAGCTTCAAAACTGGACCACAGAGCACTGGAAAAAGGTGAATGATGAACCACATTTTCTTTTACATCAAGTGTATCGCTTACCTGGGGAACATGTGGCACCAGGATTCACTATGGGAAGAATGCAAACCAGCAGAGGCAGTGTGATCTACTGGGACACCGTGGCTCCCGCCATCCATGTGGGTGATACTGTGACACATACCACCTACCTAAGTACAGCTGCAGACCATGTACACTCTTTAATGAAACTTCTGTGACTTCTTTCTACAGGATAATGTGCCCTGATATAAAGCCAAAATAGTTCAGCAAAGATTTTAAAAGCACAAAAATGAATTTGAGGTGGACATGGCCTCCGAATTCCCCAGATCTCAATTTAATCAAGCATTTGTTGGATGTGCTGGACCATTAAGTCCAATGGATGGAGGCTCCGCCTCCCAATTTAGCTGTTGTTACCATCTTGGTGACAGAGACCACAGCAAATTTTCAGGGGTCTAGTGGAGCTCATGCCTTGAGCTTTCACAGCAGTTTGGCAGCAAATGTTAAATAAAATAAAAAATAAGACTGCTATTTAAAATGAAGTGATGATGAAGACTTTTGAGGAATCTCTTTTAAATAATGCAAAGACATTTTTTTTCTGCTGTTTGTCAAAGTGTAATTTAAACATGAATGTTTACAGAATAAATGTTTTGTGGTGCAGAAACCTCTGGGTTACCTTCGAAGTCAGGATATTGAAGCTTCTGCAATATGAGCCATCCACAGAGCTTCATACAAGGTACGAACATTAATGTGGTGATAAATCAACAGGAACCTGAAGAAGAGGGAGCTTCATTCAGATTTGAGTAGTCACTTCAACCCCACAGTCTGGAAAATATGCTTTTTGCAAAATTATAAAGTCTGAAAAAGGAAGTATTTGTGGTAAATCAGCAGTGATTGGACATCATAAATCTGTATGTGTCTAAAAGTCAGTTCAAACTGTAAAATAAGTTGAGTAGTGCATTTAAACCTTCCTTCCAAAACTGCTTAATAAAAATAAATAAAATAATTGTGAACAATATTTGTAAATTGTGTATGCAAACTTCCAGAAAAGTCATGGATACAACTGTGAGCTGTAGATGTGCAGTTTGAGAAATTATGGTGAACACTGTGATAATTTTTTCCTGCCCTGAGTCTATTGAAATTAAAGATGTGGCGTGTCTAAAATAATAATAATGAAAAACATACATCTATTTTAAAAAAAAATAAGGGACAAACACAGATTAATAAAACATTCAAAACTCCCCCAAAAAGATACACAGATAGCACAGATGAGCAAGTTATTTAAGCAAACCAACATTTGAGATCTCGTCTGTATGAAATCAGACTAACTAAATATGGGACTAGCATAGCTTAGGTGACCTCAGTGATACTGAAAATAATTAGTTTCATCGTTTTAAATGAAAGAAAATAAAACTGTTACTGAAAAATCCTCATCCTATTACATTTAACAGGAAGTTAATTTATTAGAAAACAGTAAAAACATTTATTTATTAAATTATTTACTAAATAAGTGTTTTTTTAAAGAGACTTTCTACTAGACTTTCATGAAATATCCAAAAAATACCACAAAAGGATGTTTTTCTGCCATTTTTTTAAAGCTCACAACATGAATACTTGCAGAATAAATATTTTCATGATATCACATCTGCATGATGAACCGTCCGCAGAGCTACACATACGGTATGAATATCAGTCTGGTGTTAAATTAATGCAGGAATAAAACAATAAAACAACCTAAAAACTTAAAGCCACATTCAATTTTTCGACATAGCAGTGAATGTGATAATATTTAACCCAAAAAAGAAGAAAGAAAAAAAACGGAGGAACCACCTGTTAGATTAGGTGATATTTTCACATTTGGTCTTTATCTATAAAAGGTCTTGTTTCCTGTGGCTGTGGTTCTCACATTTGGTGTTGTGAGAAACTTCTATGCGATAATGTGAGAAAAATTGTAATACTTGAAAAACACAATTGTAATACTTGAAAAACACAACCCTAGTATGACACAAGGGTTAATGCCCTTGCAGCTGCACAACGCTACAGTATGTTAGGAATATATTAAATGTGTGTATAGTGCTAAACAAGAAAGACAGAAACATGTTTTCAACAACAGCCATAAAATGTACTCTTATTGTTAAACATACAGAAACTACTCTCCTGTTCCACTTTATATATTTTCAAGTGAAATTAAATGAAACCATCAGGGGTTAATGATGAGATCACAGGTAACAAAGTTGATGAGAACCAACAGTGATTTTACAGAGTTAGTCAAGACTGACCAACAGCTTTGTTTTGTGTTTCAGCTTTTTTCTTTCTTTATAGAAAAATAAAAGATGGGTGAATACCACTGATACAATTTAACCAGATTTATCAAAAACATAATTATTGATGTGTTAATGATCATATTTGTCATGCTTGAAATGAGTTTTCGTACAGCTCATTAGTGTTGAGCAGGTTTTATAACTGCTGTTTGAGAAGCTTCATTAGCACTAATATTTCTTTCTGCTCTAGTATCTGTTTGAATTTCTCTTGAAATAGATGAGCTGCGCTGTAGATAGACCCTCCTCCCCATCCTTTAAAGTCACCAGGAAGTTTTTTTTTTAACAGAGAGCTGTGAAAGGTGTTGTGCTTCATTTCTCTTTGAAAAGCCTGAGGTGAGGGTCGCAGAGGTGAATCTTGATGCTGAATTTTCTATAGATATTTAAGGAATTGATTAAATGATTAGCACCAGTTTGCTGTTTTGTTATTGTGATTCAGACACAGTTGGACTAACTCAGGAGCTTGAAGCCTCAGCATGATGAGCCGTCCACAGAAATACATAGAAGGTAAGAACATTAATGTGGTGGTAAATCAACAGGGAGGAGAAAATCTACACTTTTTATGAACAATGCTGTTTTCACACAACGTAACGTGTTCTGAAATTAAACAATACTCTTTTAGGTGAAATATCTTAAGTCTGTATTCTGGGTTTTATCACAGAAAAATATAAAAACCTCATTTATGAAGAAAAAGAATAAGAAAGTCAACCATATTGTTATGTAACATAAACTGTGCCATGTTTCTCGTTGGTCTAATCCAACTCTGATTCTCACCTGTTTAAAAAAAATAATTTTAAACAAGACAAACACAAACACAAACACATATCTTTACATCATTCCTCAACTGCACTACAGTTAGAACTATTTATTAAATGTTTATGTACTTGTGTGTTCACTTTCTGTCTCCTCTGAATCAGGTGAAGCTCTTCACTGTCAACGTGAAAAATCAAACAATGCGTTAAAGCTCAGAGTGGCCGTGCTGGTTGTTTGTGTTCTCCTGGTATCGGCTCTCGTGGTAATTTATCTCTGTGAGTTTGTAGTTCTATTCATGTAGCTTTACTGATAAGTGTCTGATCTACTGTAAATTGATTATCAGAATGTTTACTATAAAATTGTGAAGAAAAACTTAACTTATGACTTTTTAATTAATCTGCATCATATGAAATCCTTTTATTTTAAAATCCAGGCTTCAG